CATGATATTCTCCACCTCCATCCATTTACTAGCAAATGCTGTGATTTCATTTTTCTTTAAAGCTGAGTGATATTACATCGTGTATATGTATACTACATTTTCTTTACCCATTCATCTATTGAGGGACCCCTAGGTTGGTTCCATAGTTTAGCTATTGTGAATTGAGCTGCTATAAACATTGATGTGGCTGCATCATTGTAGTATGCTGATTTTAAGTCATTTGGGTATAAATAGAGGAGTGGGATAACTGGGTCAAATGGTGATTCCATTCCAAGTTTTCTGAGGAATCTCCATACTGCTTTCCATAGTGGTTGCACCAATTTGCAGTCCCACCAAAAATGTATGAGTGTACCTTTTCCCCCACATCCTTGCCAACATTTATTGTTGCTTGTGTTCTTGATAACTGCCATTCTGACTGGAGTGAGATGAAATCTTAGTGTAATTTTTATTTGCATTTCTCTAATTACTAGAGATGTTGAACATTTTTTCATATATTTTATTGATTAATTGTATTTCTTCTTCTGTGAAGTGTCTATTCAATTGCTTAGCCTATTTATTGATTGAGTTATTTGTGTTTTTTTTGGTGTTAAATTTTTTGAGTTCTTTATATATTATACAGATTAATGCTTCATCAGAGGTGCATGTGGTAAAGATTTTCTCCCAATCTTAAGCTCTCTCCTCACATTATTGTTTGTTTCCTCTGCTGAGAAGAAGCTTTTTAATTTAATTTAAATTTCTTCATTTTACTTCTTGTGCTTTAGGGGTCGTGTTAAGGAAGTCAGATATTAGGCCAACATGGTGAAGATTTGGACATTCTTCATAGAAACAGAAAAAGCAATCATGAAATTTATTTGGAAAAATAAGAAACCCAGAATAGCCAAAACAGTCCTTAGCAAGAAAAGTGAAACAGGAGGCATCACAATACCAGACATTAAACTATACTACAGAGCTATAGTAATAAAAATGGCACCAAAATAGACTTGTAGACCAATGGTACAGAACAGAGGACACAGAGACAAACCCACACAGATACAGTTATCTTATACTAGACAAAGGTGCCCAAAACATTCACTGGAGAAAAGATAGCCTATTCAAAAAATGGTGCTGGCAAAACTGGAAATCCATATGTAGCAAGATGAAATTAACCCTCTATCTCTCACCCTGCACAAAACATCATCTCAAAGTGGATCAAAGACTTAGGCACTAGAATAGAGACCCTGCACCTAATGTATCTTAACCCCTACTTCACACCAGACGATAATGATCAATTTCAGATGGGGTGCAGAAGTAAATGTGAAAGATAAAGCAATGAAGCTTTCAAGAGGAAACAAAAATTCATTGAAAAGGGCACAAATACTAAAAAATACTAAAGAAAAATAGTTAATTGGTTGGTATTAAGAAAATCTTTTTGCCAAAAGGTACAAAGAAAGTGAATGAAATGACGAAATCAGAGATAAATACTTTCAAGACCATATATTCAATCAAAAATCTCATCTCTAGAATGCAGAAAGAACTCTTGAAAACCTGTATAAAAAAAAGGGGCCAACTTAACTGGAGAAGGGGGGAATGTAACCTCACAGATGTTACTCGAATGTCAATAGATCTGTGAAACCTGTGGCTTCGTAAGTTGCCAAGTAGTTCACTTAACACCCACCCGAATGGCAGAGATGAAGGGGAAAGACGTGCCACGTGTCGGCGAGAACCCGGAGCAGTGGGGACTCTCTGGGGCCTGAGTGCAAATAGTTCCAATTAACTTGGAAAATGGCTGCAGCTGAACATACATATATAAATAGACATCTAGGACTCAGTGACCCAGAAATTCTTCTCCCAATTATACACCAAACAGGATTTTGTATAAATTTGCCAAAAGACACATACAAAAATATTTACAGGAGCACTGCTTTTAATAGTTCAGACCCCAAACGACTCAGATCCTCACTGGCAGTAAAGTGGGCAGATACGGTGGGGTATCTGCTCAGAGAGGAACACTGGAAAGCATGGAGAATGGAAGGAAAATCATGGCTGTAGGTGATAATAGGAACCACGGGAGACAGCGGGCTGGGGCGTGGCCCAGGGCAGAGCACTCACCCATGCAGCCCGAGGCCCTGGGTTGCATCTGCAGCATTGCATCATGACGACAGTAAGACAAAGTCTGAGACAAAATGAGCAAAGGCCTCACGAACTTGGGGCCAGAAGACTCCTCTGTGGGCGTGTTCACCTCAGCTGGGGAAGGAGAGGCAGCTTTACAGTGTAAACAGGGAGCTACATCTCCGAATAGCAAGCATCCTATGATGAGGCAAATTTAGGAGGCAGAGGAGAATTTCTAATTGGCCTTCAGGTACTTTGGGCCGGGCTGCTTGGTGGACTTCAGGGCTGGGGGCCAGCTCCCTACTGCGTGGCAGAGAAGTCCTGCTCCCACCACATGGCCTTCAGAGCCCACCGGGCCTGGCCCTGCCCCTTTGGCCCTCACTGTGTGCTCCAGGCTTCCTGTGTGGCCTGCAGAGCACCACGGCCTCTCCTTTCTCCATCTGTGAGCTGTTTGGACTCCAGCAGGGGATAAAGGACACTATCAGACGATTTCAAAAAGGAGTTTAAAATCCCAAACCCAAACTAAGAAGGAAAAGGACATACAATGAAAACTTGGCTAGATTGGAGGCCAGGACAGGCTTTTTGCTACAGTTTGATTCCTGAATAATTTAGAGGCAAACAGAAGAAGCAGTTGAGACGGATGGAACTGTATGTTAAAGACCCTGAGGCAGCAGAGTGTGTTTCCTTATGGGGAACTGAAGGAGAGAACACAGAAAACAAGAGGTGAGCTAGGGTCTTGCCCAGCATGGTGAAGATTCTGGTCTTCATACTAAGATGAGGGTACACCTGCTGTTGGAATGCCCGATGCTTAAAGTTAAGAGGTGTTTCAAGCAGGAGGTGACATGATATTTCACTAGCAAACTGAGCCTCTGACTCTGGGATTTACTGGGGAGCAGTTTAGATTCCAGGAGACCATGTAGAGGCAACTGTAATAGTCCTGGCCCCAGAGAATGGGCTGGGTTGGTCACAAGGAGGTGGGACAGAGTTGTGAGCCTTCTGCAAAGATGTGGGTGGTCGAATAGCCTAAACATGGTGACTGCCGAACGTAGGGGAGGGGCGGGGTGTGAGAGCCAAGGATGGCTCCTGGACCCTGCCGCCCCGGTGGATGGTGGTACTTTCCCCGAGGCCACCATGTTGGGGTGCACGGTGGCAGAAAGCTCAGAGATGTCACTTAGACATCAAGTAGAGGGTAAGGTGGGCAGGAGACGGGGCTGCTCTGCAGTTCAGACGAGAGTTCTGAGGCATCACCGAGTCATTATTCAAACAAACACAAGTAGCAGATTGGTTTTTATCCATGTGTTTTTTAAGTTTGAGAAATTGTTTCATTCCCTTTTTTTTTTTCCCTCTCTCTTTCCTTCTTCGGAGGGTTTATTTCCATTTTTCTTTCTACCTCCCTTTTATGGAGTGTGTGTTTCTTTTGCCTGAGGGGTCACCTAAATGTGCCACCTCTCCCTCAGGAGCTGCAGACCCCACCTCTGTCCTCTGCCTCCAGAGCCCAGTGGGGAGGGTCAGCTGACACAGAGTGGCACCTCCTGTGAGTCATTGGGAATCGTGGTGGGGTAAAGGGGTTGCTGCTTGCGGGGAGGTGGTGGTCCAGCAGAGGACACCCAGCCGAGGTGCTTCTCAACGCCTGTTTGCTGCGTCCACTGCAGTGGTGGGCTCCAGCCTGGGGCTCGCAGGGGGAATCGTGTTGCTCGGGAGATTCTGGCTTCTTGCAGGGATCTGGAGCAGTTGGTGGGGAGCAGGGGAGAAGGTGACAGGTGGGGGTTTGTTTCCAAGCAAGTGTGAAAGCCCCTGAGAAGAACTTTCATGCCACGTCTGTCAGAGGAACCAGAATGAATGAAACCAGCTGCTGTGTCTGAAGACTCACGGGCCACTCCTGACTCCGACGGGAAGCTCAGAACCTTCTTGGGAAAGCTCTGGACCCTGAGACCAAGCGGACTTCACAGCACGGGAAGGATTCCAAGCAGTTCAGCGGGCAGAGTTTTCTAGAAAACCAGGGAAGGTGCTTAGGGCCAGTATTGAAGAAATGAGGAAGGGTGAGGGCAGAGGGGAACTTTCTACCCTGCCTAAGAATTAATATTATGAAAAATGAGGCAGAGGGAAGAGGTGTTCTCACCACATGCAAGTTCTTGCTCTGTTTGCTGAGTCCCTCACCTTGAGCTTTGCTCTGGGAAGTCAGATTACAGCTGCTTTGTCCCCAGTGACATTGGGGCAGTAGGATGTACTGTCAGAGGTCTGGCTTTGGGTCTGGACACCACTGGTGGGGACCATCTGTGTGGCCAGGACAGCCAGGGAGAGACTCAGTGTCTCTCAGAGACCCAAGCAGTTCGGTTTGCGGTTGCAGGATCTGGTTTGTTACATTCCCAAGTCAGTTTCCGGAATGAAATGTTTAAGCAGTTTCTGGCCTGTCCTGAGACTATTTCCCCAAACTCTTCCTGTGGGCGACGTCACTGTTGACTACAAACAAATGCGCTGTTATGTATGTGGTCAGTGCTGAGCGCTGCCTGGGGCTGGGCATGGTCCCACATGTTAGAGGGTATCAAACTGTTCTCTGCTCCCCTAATCCTTTAAGATAGGTGCTTCCAGGATTCCCATCCTAAGGATGAGTAATCAGTGGCATAGATGGGTCAGTTACCTGGCCAAGGTCTCATAGCCGGTGTCTTGGAACCAGGGTTTGGCCCAGTGCTGGGAAGAGCATGTCTGCTTCCTGGACCTGACTCCTTTCTCCCTCCCCCTCAGCACTGCACACACGTTAGGTATTCCTCAACAGCATCTTGTTGAACGAGTGGACTGCCGACTCTCACACCCCCAATAATTGAACCCTACAAGAGCCTCTGCTGTCTTACTTCTCCACCCACCTGGAGGAGGTAAACATTGTACAGTTCCAGTGATGCTTTGTTTTCTCCTAGGAGTGACTGGGTGACGTCCTATAAGGTCATGGTGAGCAATGACAGCCACACGTGGGTCACTGTCAAGAACGGATCTGGAGACATGGTGAGTCTCTTCTTGGCTCTGGCTGTGTGGGACCCTGCAGAGAGATGTGATATGCCCAGTCACCTGGGACTTACCATGTCTGGGTCCACTCCAGCCAACCCTGAGAGGGTGATATGACAGTGACCCCTTTCCATGGCCCAAAGCTCAGCACCAGGTGGTCACCTTTGGGGACAATGTGGACTCTTGCCTTTCCTCCTGTCGCAGGGTCTGAACCCAGCCTCTTACCCATACCCAGGCCAGCCCTGGAGAGAGATGGCATGCAGGGCATGCAGGGCCCCTCACAGCTGTTCAGTTATGAGTTTCCTAACTTTTTCTAATGACCTTGGATCTTTAGCTCTGTGATGTGGTGCAGCTTCACACTGCAGTCACACTGAGATCCTCAAGGGCACATTCCCAGCACCATGTCCCCTGTCCCATACCCATCTTGCACACCGCCTGCAGATTCCTTATCACCCACATCCCTGTGTCCTGGTAGAAGGGTGCCAGCTGCTCTTCCACCTGGGAACCCCATTGCTGTGTCTTTCTCTAGAATATTCCAAGATAGGTATGTCTTTCCCCCTATGTCAGGTCAAATGCAGCTGCTTCCCCACAGCTTTGCTGGGTCTTCTTCTGCTGAAATCCAAAAGCTCTGTGGTGTCCCTTTTCCCTGACCTTGATAGTTACCCTACAGTCAACAGGTTCTCCCCAGGCCCCAATCAATGGGGGCTTCCTGGGACCTGACTCCTTTCTCCCTCCCCTCAGTGCTCAACACACATTAGGTATTCCTCAATAGCCTCTTGTTGAGCCAGTGGACTGCCAATCTCACACCCCTGATAATCAAACCCTACAAGAGCCTCCTTTTCCCCTTGAACATAAATAGATATTTGAAGGAAACAGTGAAAAGGAGATCCCTGTGCTCAACGAGCTGCCTGTCCCCATGGTGGCCCGCTACATCCGCATCAACCCGCAGTCCTGGTTTGACAACGGCAGCATCTGTCTGAGGATGGAGATCCTGGGCTGCCCACTGCCAGGTGAGTCCACCCACCTGCACTTCCTGCAGGGCAGGATGCTGACACAAAACAGGTGCCAGCCGGGGTGAGTAAAATTAAGCCGCGAAATTGTTTTCTGGTGTTAAAAAGAAGAGATGTGTCTATTTAGAATATTTTGAAAATACAGGTGAGCCCAAAAGAAAACAAGTAAAAATTTCCCATTATCCTGCTAAGAAGCATCATGAACATTGGGGGGTATCGAGGTCTCTTGCCAAGGGAGGTTTTTCCCATTGTGCATATTTCAAGGTTGACAATTACCCAACCCCACCACTCAAGGGTGAGCAGAGACACTATAAAGGGGTTTTGGAGCATTGGGGTACCACTCAGCCATAGAGCTCTAGTGAGCATGTGCAAGGCCCTGGTTCCATCCCTAGCGCTACAAAAAAAAAAAAAAAAAAGTTTTGGAGGCCACATTTATTTGTCTCTTCAGATCCCACTCTTCTAGGTAGAGGAGGTAGGGCAGCAGCAGCAGAAGTTCACTTTAAACTTGACCGTTGATGTGGTCTTGTTTAAAGAGCTTCACGGGATGCCTGTGTCTTGGGTCACTTATTCTTATTGGTTGTGTTTTCTTGGCCCTATTTCTACATGATGGTTTTAGTGTGTGACCCTAGGGTAACAGGGAGAATGGTGGGGACTCCTGAGCCAGCTGGGTCCCTGCTCTGTCTTGCTCTGGACAGGCTGGCCTGAGTTGGCTTTCATAGATGGTTGGCTTGTGTGCTCAGGGACCTGTGGCAGCAGCCTCTTCCTCCTGCCCAGACATCTCCAGGGAAGGCAGCGGCAGGAACTTTCTCATTCCTGTGCGCCCTGAGACAGGAGGACCAGGAGCGAGCCATGACTCATCTCTCCCAGGCTGCTCCTCCAGGGAGCCTCCCTGCACTTGATCTTGCAGGTGTGAGCTGACCCCAGCTCCCTCTGGACCCCCAGTTCCTCCGAGTGCTCTGGGGGCCTGGCACCTCCAGCTCTGAGGCTGTGTCTGTCATGACCCCACCCCCACCATGAACTCACTTTTACTGTGTTTTCAAGTGTGTTTATGTCATTGTGCTCTTTTCCTCTCAATCCCATAGTTTCTATGAACTCGCTTTGGCAACCATGGATTTTTAGAGACCAAGTTGAATCTAGGTACCTGCTTAATTTCCCTCATGTCAGATATTTTGTTTTATAATTGTTCACACCTGCTTTTTTTTTTTATGTCATTAAAACTGGCAGAGACCCACTGTCTTACTGATGCTTTCTCTCCTAATCCATGGAGAGATCCTGTGTTTTTAATCTGCCTTAGAGAGTTGGAAGTTGAGTTGTTTCCAGCGTGTTGATTCTGTGAGCACCCACAGTGGGCACCCCTGTTCCTCCATCACCATTCCACGTCACTATTCCACGTGTGCATGTCCACGGTTAATTCCCAGGATTGCCTTGGGGAGAGTGGGGTTGCTGGGACAAAGGAAGTGCCCATTGTCAAGGATGGCGTGGGGAGAGGCTGCCTGGTTGGAGGTTGAAGCCTCCTTTTATGGCCGGTTATGTTGGAACTGGGCACTGCTGTCCAGGTCCAGCCTGCTGCCCTCCGGGACCTGCCGGGCTCAGCGTGTCCTAAGGTCCCGAAGTCAGTAGGTATCTGCAGAGGGGGAGTCATGGGCTCTGGCCCTCTTTACATGAACCTGGGGCTCTTGTTCAGCACACTCTCAGTCTGTTTGCTTTAAAGAGAAGGGTCATGGTTCTTCTCTGCAGGCAGGAATTCATCTGTTGTTAGCAAAGGGCAGAGGGCAGCCTATGCGAGTCTCACGAAATAAATATTTCCCTGTGAAGTTATTCTTGGGGTGCATTTGAAGATAGGTCCTGGGATCTGTTGAATCACTCGCAGAGACAGTTGCGTTGTGAAATCTGGGTGGCTGTCAAGTATGGCCTCAGCAGGGTTCTGCTGTCCACCCCATAAATATTTAGGGCCATTTTTCTTCTAGAAGTTACTTAGCACTCTGTCCAGAGGTGCACTAGTGTTCACACATGCCGCCTGGTGGTAGTCAGGTCCAAGGACCAGGGCGGCACAGAGGTCCAAAATGAGCCTCTCATCATCGCTGTGTGGAGAAGAAGATACCTTCATGAAAGTTAATGAGATTGAAGCCAGAGTTGTGCAGACAATGCAGCTCCCCAAACCCAAGGTGACCTTGAGGTCTAAATGCAGCCACCAGTTCCATGCTTCCTGGAATTCTTTTTATGAAAAATGTACTTACCTCCATTCTGCATCTCTGCATTCCAACCACGCCCTCCCTTCTCCTCTTCCTGTGAGGCCTCTGGTGGAGGCGGACTTGGAGGGTGCGGGTTGCTTTTTAAGACTTGGTGAATATTTCCAGAAATCTTTGAGCTGGAAAGTGCATTACCATAGATCATGGACTATTAATAGGATTTTTAAAGCTCAGAAGTAAAAGAAAACGGGGAGCTGTAGTTGCATGGGTTTAGAGTTTCAGGTCTGCAAGATGAAAAATGTTCTGTAGCTGGATAGTGCTGCCCATATCGTGTGCAGCACAGGGCATGTAGCAGTGTTCCGTAACAATGGCACCAAGCGAGGGAAGGCCTTTCACTCCAAGACGGAAGCCATGTCTCCATCAAGCACAGGGCATCAGCCGGACACAGGCCAGATCCAACTGAAGATGAGATCACAAGATTGCTTTCATTTACTGTGGTCATTGAGGTAGTGAACAATGGGCCAACGTGTGCATCTGCTGTGAGAGTTGAGCCTTTAAGCTGCATGAGTATACTGCCTTGTAAAGGGAGATGTGCTTGCTAGAGCTGTTTGGTTAGACGGGGTGACCACCCATCTCAATTGCCTGGGACACAGGGAGTTTTCAATTTATCAACCAGGACAGCCCCAAATAAACCAGCACATGGTGGCCTCTCTCTGGTTAGACCTATCTCAGTCAGCAGAATCAGTGGAACAGAGGATTTGGGGAGGTCAGTAAGGGGATTCGGTTGGGAAGACAGCTTTAGGTACCAACGTCTGGAGTTTGTCCCTGTAACTAGGGTGTCTCTGAGGAATCGCTGTTTTTCAGCATATGGGATGTGCCCCATGGAAGGCAACAGGAGCCAAAGCTCCTTCCGAGACAGTCAGGCTTGTAGACTGAGGCAGCTGGGGCTTCAGATGGGAGCAGCGCTGTTCCAACTAGCTTAAGAGAAAAAAGTGGGCTGATGTCAAATCTTAGGAGTGGGTCTGATTTTGGCTTCAGGTTGGGGTAGGTCTACTGTCTCAGGGCCTTCTAGGTCAGGGCTCACTTGGTCTCTTGCAGATAGGCAGGTGGCCACTGATGACCCAAAGTCATCCTGTCTTCAGAGAGATTCCAGTAGGAGAGACTCCACAGCTCTGGGCTAAGAGTCTTCCGGTGGCCCAGTGTGGATCCTGGGATCACTGGACCCAGTGACTGTGGCCAGAACAAGTGTGTTAACTGGCTGGCCTGAGTCACGTGGCAGGGCAGCTCCCTTGGAACTCACAAGGGAAAGGAATTTTTTTGTCCACAGAGGGAAGTTGGGGATGGACTCCGATGCCAATGGTTCTGTGTGCACTCATTACTTCAGTGCGTGGCTCCTAGTAGAACCTGAATTAAAACCTTGGCCAGTCAGAATAAATGGACAGGAAAAAAGAATTTTTTTCAGGATAGGGAGACTGAAAGTTGTGCAAACTCGCCGTGGCTTTGAGACAGTTCTGGAACTTGTACCTGAACCTTTCAGCAAACTGATTAGTCTTAAGAAAGGAAGAATATCCCAGACACAGAGTTCTTTTGTCCTGGAGAGTTTTTCTTCACTCCTTTTCACAACCTTGAAGGCAGAACTTGTGTTGGAAAACAAAGGGGGCTTTCAAGTCCTTTGGAAAGAGGCCCCAGAGACTGGGGCGGGATGTGGAATAGCTCTCAGCACACAGCTCTGGTTAGGTTCACTGTAGATGACTGGATAGGTTTGGTGTAAATGAATGCAAAAAAATATGCTTCCCATTTGCTTTGAAATCTGCAGGTTTGGAATTCAGAGGGAAGGCAGCTTGCCAGAGGTGTGGTCAGCCCACTCCCCAAAGGAAAGTGTTGGAGAAATGAGTGGGCCTCTGGCTGAGCCTCTCTGTTCTTGCTGGCCAGCATGCCCGCCTGCCTCTGGAGAGACTCCCTTTCCTCCTGGGTTACTCATATCTGATCGTACCACTGGAAAACCTTTTGTGAAGATTTAAAATTCTACTTTCAGTGTTTGGGTCCATCTGTGATTCTTACCTTGTGGCAGGCGACCTCAGTTCTGAAGGGTGAAGCCATCTTCAAGGGCGCAGGGCTGGCTCAGCTGACCGGCTGGGTGGAACGTCGCTGATGTCCCCACCCCCACCCACCCCCGCCACACACTGGGTGGCTCTCAGCCTTCCGGCCTGCAGGGTCAGCTGGCGTTCTGTTCTAACCTGCGGAGTCAGAAGGTTCTGTCAGGTTGGTTCTGACAAAGAGCCAGTGCTGCACATTCTGATCAGAGATAGGGCCCAGCCTGCCACCCTAGGGAGCCAGTGCCCGTCCTTCTGCCACCTACCTTGGCTCTGCTTCCAGAATGACCTTGGAGCCTCCTGCATCAAGCCAAGGCCGCTTGGCTCTCCAGCAGCTCACATGCTCCTAGGGTTGTGGGTCGGCTTCCAAAGCTCCCATGTTCTTCCTGTCGGGAGCTGGTGCTGGTGGAGATGCTACCAGGCTGGCTGGGGCCTGCGACCCTCCTTTCCAGTCATCATCAGATGAGGAGAAGGACCTCAGCACCAACTGATGTCGCTTCCTGCTGTCCTCCTTGTTCTTCCTCCTCCGTGTCCCCTTCTTTCTGTGTGTTCTTTGGTTTTTATATATATGCAGAATACAAGCTTAAGAAATTAAAGGGTAAAAATCAACTTATATTTCTGGAAGGGAATCAAGTGAAGAGCAGGCATGTCCTCCCCAGAGCCCAAGCCCTAGTCCTCAGGGTCACCGTGGTTAATATGGTCTGATTACACCTTCCAAGGGACTTCTGCTCCCCTGAAGGGAACTCACTGACTTCAGCATTATGGTCACTCTGTGTCTTGTGAGTGCAAGTCCAGGGAGGGCCGGGCTGCAGGGCTGGCTATTCAGTAGCTCCTGATGTAGTTGGGCTTCTCTGTCTTTTGCTCCTGGTTGTCCATGTCCCTGAGGTCTTCCTGGGGCTAGTTCCTCTTGTAGTCAGATGCCCACTGTGGCAAGCAGGCGATGTGCTTCTGCACACTTTCCCCGTTCTCCTCTGTGCCCAAGTGCTGGAGCAGTTAGAGTGGCCGGGGGAGGGGGTGGGGCGTGCTTTGATGCCTGGAGCTGGGGCCCTGAGTTTTCTAGAGGTGGGAAGAGGGGATTTCCAAATTTTGGGCCTCTGTTAGGAAGAACAAAAGGAATGTGTCCCCAGTAAGAGCCCAACAGTGTCCACACACTTCCTAAAGTCCCCGCATGTGCCCGCAGCTTTGATGTTGCATCTGTGTCTTTAGAGTGGCTGTTTGCTAGGCACATAGGATGTCCCCTCTACCACTAAGAATAGATCGGTGAGGCCGGAACCACTCTATTCCCTGTTTATGGGTGAAAACCGAAGGCAAAGACTGACTAGTGACTTGCTCAAGATCACATAGCACATAAATGGAAAAGATTTGGACCCAGGCACCATGGCTCTGCACCCTTAGCCACTGGGTGATTCCAACCCCTGTCTTGCTCCCTGTGTCTCGGTTCTCTCGCCTCTGAGCCAATGTTAGGAGCTCGAGGTTGGACTGGGCTGGGAAGGCTTTGCCATCCCCACGGTGCTTGCATGAGTCAAGCCCTAACAGGGTTACCACAAGTAACAGAATGGCGTGAATGAATTCAAGGTCATCTCTCTATCCCTAGATCCTAATAACTATTACCACCGACGGAATGAAATGACCACCACGGACGACCTGGATTTTAAGCACCACAACTATAAGGAAATGCGCCAGGTAAGACCCAGGACACAGGGAGTGGGGCCATGGCTCTGTGGTTTAGAGCTCTCCTCTAGCGTGCATGAGGCCCTGGGTTCAACACCAGCACCTCACAAAATAAACCCAGAACAAAACAAGAAACAGAGCTTGTAGCCTCAAGCCAGGAGTTTGTCCAAGAGCTACAGGGTAGATGCCCTAAGCACTCCGTATATAGGGTTCATGTTCAAGGGACAGGAACCTGAATGGTCCCTTTGGCTGTGGAAGACACACTGAATGCTTGTGGCTTCAAGGCTGAGGGGTCTTTCTGGGATTCAGTGACCAGGAAGGTTCTCCCACTGCACAGGGTTGAAATGGGACTGAAATCCAGACTCTTCTCATTTAATACTCCAGTTCCGAAGAACCACCGTGTGTGTGAGCCAGGTCAGGGATGGAGGAAGTCAGTCATGTACAGAGTCGAAGAAGAGGAAGCACATGGGGACTCTGCTGTTGGCAGGACTCTGCTGGAGCCCACGTCACTGCGTTCAGTCCTCTAACACCCCAGGAGGGTAGCACTGTGGTCATCCTTTCTTACAGATGGGGAAACCCAGTCACCAAGTCACTGCACAGTATTTCCCTGTGTTATGCAGATTCTCAGTCTCCATCGTGGTTGCCTGTTATAGTCACCTGGGGAATCTGTAAAAATACGCTTTCCTGAACTCACTTCAGAACAAGTAAAGCAGAACCCTTAGGAGAAGGACCTGGGGACTCAAGTTTTTAAAAGCTGACCTTGGGCTTCTGCTGCATAGCCAGGTCTCAGAGCTTCTGCTTGACACCTTTATAGTCGGGGGTGCAGTTGGCAGGAAAAGACCATCAGATGAGATTCCCCAGGTTTAATCAGCGAGGCCCCGTAGTCTGAGCAGTGGCAGCCTGTGCCTGCTGGCTGAGGAGCGGGGGAGGGCCACCACTAATCAGAACAGGTAAGGGGCAGCCCCTGGGTGAAGCGCATTGCCTCTGACATCCTGTTCCATGTCTACCCCCCGTGCCGTGCTGGAAATGCACAGGGGGTGTGGGCAGACAAGAAGTCCCTAGAGATCAAAGCATCAGTCTGAAGAGTCAGAACGAGCAGAATGCTCATGAGAATGTATCTTCAGAGCAAGGATTCACTCGGACAAATTACTGAGGCTCAAAGGAGGGCTGGAGGAGCAGAGGGAAGGAGCAGACACAGGACGAATGTGGAAGACGTGTCGGAGCTCAGAGCCTCTAGGCTGAGCCCAGTCCATGAAGTGAACACGCCCCAGCAGCCCAGTGTCATTTAATTGACAGGCAGTTTCCAGACACCTGTCAGCACTGACTCGGAGGTGGAAGTGCTGAGCCTCTTGCTCTTCAGAAACCAAGATAATGTCCTTGGACTTGAGGTCCGTGACTCCTGCCTGCGGCTATGCATTCTTGGGGTGTCTGTGGCTCTGCCCCCAGTTCCATCACAGGGGCACTGTGGATTGACCCAGCACTGCTTTCTGGACATCTCAGGACATCCCACTGAGTCCAGAAGAGAGCAAATATCAATTTAGTTAGTGCAATGAATATCAAGAGCCATGAATCTGCACTTAAAGGCAGCAGGCTGCACCGAGGTGTGTGGGTGCTGGTGTTGGTCAGTAGCTATTGCACGTGGACAACGGGGCTCCTCTCTCAAGGAGAGCTGGTGGAGCAGCCTTCATCACGCAAGGTCACTGTCACTTGTGGGGGGGGGGAGTCAAAGCCACTACAAGGACATGGAATCGACAGCTGCCTCAGGGACACTGACTGAATCCTCAAGGGTCCCCCTGCCTGGCAGTGCTCAACTGGAGACTGTCCAGGGAGCGTTTCTCCATTGTATGGCAAGTTCCCGAGTGTGACTTGCCACTTGGATTCCCGACTCTGGAGATGCGGAGAAGCCAGCAGCTTAGCAATTCCCTCGTGGCATCGGCTAGTTACTGTAGACGTCTCTCTACCTTGGGGACCATGGTTAGTTTATCCTATTATGGAAAGAGACATTTGTGATGAGAAAAAAAGAAAAGAGAAACAGTAGTGAAATCAAGAAGGGACAGTGAAATCTTATGCCTTGTGAGAGGGAGAGGTCAGCTGTGTGGTCCTCCTGGGCTCAGGAACTCTCCTGAGCACTAACTTGGGAGGCCCCGCCCAGACCCAGGGAGGTGCAGGGGTGGGAGGGGGAGCCGCGAAGCAGGGGGGAAGGCGGGGGCCCAGTGGGAGAGCCGGGCCAGGAGAAGCGGAAGGCCTTAGAGCGGGTCACAGTTTGCTCTCACTTAGCTGCTGTTCCTTCACAGACGCGTTGTCCGTCTCCCTCATTGGAGACGGTGAGGGCTTTGGCAGGCGAGAACAGAGGAGGGCATGGCCAGCAGCAAGGGCAGCAGGAACCGCGGCGTGCAGGTGGGGCGTTCAGGGGGTGTCCGCCACAGCGGGCAGTGGGCTGGCAATGAGCCTGGTCCTGAGGTTCCTCGCTGAGCAAGGCTGGGCCTCTTCTCCGTGTGGAGAGAAGGTGAATAAGAGCCATTGGGTTCCCAGGACAGGGGCCTCCTGGGCCTGGACAAAGATGGAGGGAGGCATCTCTGAGGCCCTCTGGCTAGTTGGGGGGAGAGAGGACTCTGGCCTTGTCCTGCAGGGGAGTGGGTGCTTTCCCAGGAAGGAGAGAGTGATTTTGAGGACGAGGTTTACCTTGACTCTGTTTTGGGGCACAGTGTGGCCGGGGCCCCATGCTCAGGAAGCCCTGGTTGCCTGGCTGATCTGTGGAGAGTGAGGTACAGGCAGATTAAGGTAAAGGGACGGGACATGAGTTGCAGGGAAGTTGATATCCAGGGCAGCTGATGGCCAGGGGCATTAGGCTGAAAGGACAGCTGCTGAGTGTGCCCACGCTCTCCACGCTGAGCCTGGCCTGGGGGAGGTCGTGGTGGGGGCAGTCAGGGTAGGGCAGCGGCCTGTGGGTCCAGACACACCAAAGTCCTGAGCCACGAGGTCCCCTTCTCAGTGATTCTCTCCCTGTTCCCGCCCTGGGGAATTCCTTTCCCATTGACCAGGCGCAGTCTGTTTCCCAGGTGAATGAAGAAAGAGAACTTTTTCTCCTCTGCCTTCTTTTATTTATTCTTTAAACATTTTCATTCACTGGACAAACACTGTTGTATCAATATGTGACCCCAAACCTACAGATAAATCCTTCTCAAACTTTCTTACCTGTCTCAGTCTTACATTTTCTTACATGTCTCAGTCCTTTCATACTTATGGTAACAAAATACCAGAGAATGGATAATTTACAAACAACAGAAGTTTGTTTCTCATGTTCTGGAGTTCAGGATCAAGGCATCAGCACATCTGGGGTCTGGTAAGTGCTGCTGTCCACTTCCAAGATGGCGCCTTGTTGCTCTCTACTCCTGTGGTGGGAGGTGGAAGAGTGAAAGGGCCTAGCTAGTTCCCTACAGACCTTTTACAAGGTTATTAATTTCATTCATTAGGACACCCCCTAAAGGCCCATCTCTATAGACCATCTCATTGGATCTTAGGTTTCCGCATATCACCCCTTAGCGACTCAGGGCAGGAAACGCAGTGTGTCTCTGAGTTTCAATCTGCCTGTCTTCAGAATGGGGGCAGTCTCTCTGCCTTATCTACCTCACCTGGAGGTCTTGATGGTGAGATGACACATTTTTGCTGTCTTCTTTACGTTGGCAGGGATGTGGGTGCTCGTTGTTGTAGTCATTTTTGGTGCCACCTGTGTGTGGCCCCTGTGATGTTCATGCACCTCCCTTGTGGCAGGTGTCTGCCTCAGCTGTCTTGCAAACACGGGTCTTTAGCAATTGGCTTTCTCTCAACTGAATATTGTGACACAAAGTGAGTCACTGCAGAGTAAAGCACACTTTCCCCCAGAATCAATGAGAGAATTAGACCCTGAGTTCCTAACCAGAGGAGCGCCTGTCACCCCTCGCAGGTGTGCTGGAAGCCAAGGTAGTGATGATAAATCCTTCGGCCCCTCAGGAATGATCCTTAACCTGCTCTGCCCGGTGATGGCAGAATACCATGTTATGCAGGTGACAAGCATGACACCTGTCCTGTATCATAGGCTCTGTGCAATATCAGTTTTCCAGTTTGAACAGATTTTCACCCACTATAAAAGTTGCAGCAGCCTATTTACAATTTACAAGGACCTTCAGTGGATCATTCTGCTGACCAGGAACCTTTGAAAGATCGTTCAAGTGCCTGCAGGCCCCTGCTGTCCCTTGGGGACTGTGCCTTTCCCTTGCTGAGCAGTCCAGCTCATCTTTCAGAAAGGTGGAGCCCTTCCTAATGGGTGCTGCCTGCCAACCACCTGGCTGGGCTGTCTTCTCCCTGCCCTGGAAGCCCCTGAGCACCCTTCTTGACATTAACAGAGGGTGGTGCAGCTGTCCCATGATGAGTGAAGCCTCCACCATGAGCATGGGGCCTGGTAAGGGGCAGGCTTCTCAATAAACATGCAGTGAATGGACCGTGTCCCTTGAATCGGGGCGTCTTGCACTTGGGGTGGCTAAATGAGTTGAACCAAGCTGGCAAGTCCAGGCCGCCTCAGAGCAGACTCGCAGGGCCTCGTTGAGTGGTCCAGGCAAGGCAGCCTCCAGGGAGAGGTGTCTCTGATCCTCCCCCACAAGGGCAGCTGGCTCCCCACAAGGGCAGCGTGGCTGCGGAGCCTGGTGACTCCTTTGGCACTTGCATTGTCCTCGCAGACCACAGCTGTCAGTCTGACCAGCCAACTCCAACGGCAAGATCCAGAAAGCAGCACAGACGGGTTTCACTTCGGGCTGCCGCCTGCTTTGCACCCTTCCCCTGTGACACCGGTTACCACGCCACACGTGCGGTCCTCACTCAGCGCTCACAGGAGTGGTGCTCTCAGTTCCTCTGTGCCGGCACAGCAGCTCAGGAGCGCGGAGCGGGGAGTGTCCCCCATCCTAGCACCGCGTGCGTAGGTCATGAGAAATTGTATTCAAGAGACACTCAGGTGGACCATCCATGTCCAAGGATATTTATTAAGAAAGCAGGAAATCAGAGTGAAAAATAATGACCCAATCAAGGAGGCGATGATGAATGTGATGAACAGCCAGGGAGGTGACAGCCACAACCAGGGAGGTGACAACCACAAAAATTAAGGAGGTGACAGCCACAACCTGGGAGGTGTCAGCCACAACTAAGGAGGTGACAGCCACAACCAGGGAGGTGACAGCTACAACCAGGGAGGTGACAGCCACAACGTGGAAGGTGACAGCCTCAACCAGGGAGGTGACAACCACAACTAAGGAGGTGACAGCCACAACCAGGGAGGTGACAGTCACAACTAAGGAGGTGACAGCCACAACCTGGGAGGTGACAGCCACAGTCGAGGAAGTGACAGCCCTATTGGAGGGAGGTGACGGCCACAACCAGGGAGACCTCTATGCTCATAGGACCACCATGACAAAAGCACCATGAATGAGCTGCTGGCCACAGGCTGTTGCTTGCATTCTGGAGGCTGCGGCTCTGGAGGAAGCCAGTGGCAGAGCTGTGTCTGCGAGGCTTCTCCCTCCAGCTCACAGGCGCGCTGTCCCCACGTGCCTACGTGGCAGGAGGAGCAAGCGAGCTCCCCCAGTTATGCAGTCACCACTCCTGTTCCCCAGGCCTCTGCCCTGGGACATAGTCGCCCTGCCAGTTTCACCTCTGGACACCGTGGCTTTGGTGACTAGGTCTCAGTGTATGCTTTTGGGGGACACAAACATTCAGACTGCGGCAGGAGGTGGTACCACAGCCAGGGGCGCTCAGCGTCCAGAGCCGCGGTGGGCAATGGCCAGGAGTGCCTCCTTAAGGATGACCCCAGGGCAGGCTGGCACAAAAGGTGGGTGCTGAGAGCCTTGGGGGGATGATTGTGGGGAGGAGTGTCCACGTGGAGCAGCGGGCTGTGGGAGAAGGGCCCTGTGGGGAACAGGAGCAGCTGTCCTCCTGAGACGTCTGCCCCATCATTACTTGAAATGGTTCTTGACTTTGTCTTTCAGTTGATGAAGGTCGTGAACGAAATGTGCCCCAATATCACCAGGATCTACAACATTGGCAAAAGCCACCAGGGCCTGAAGCTATACGCCGTGGAGATCTCCGACCACCCCGGCGAGCACGAAGTCGGTGAGGGGCCCCTGGGGTGACGGTGATTCGCCTTATCCACGGTGCCTCCTCAGGCATCATGTTCTATCCCTGAGAACATTCAGGAAGCAGGGCCTGCACTGGCCATTATCAGCCGTCTCATAGGGTGGACTCTGCAGGGCACACAGATTGGAGACCTGAGAGCCTCTCGCCCCTGTGACACAGGCTGCAGATTATTTAAGCTGGACACACCTTCCTTCTCTCCATAGAGCCCACATCTGATCCTGTGTCCCCTCCAAGGCCATTCACAACAGCCAAGGAAGAAAGTGGCTAGACTCCTCTCCCAGGAGGAAATGGTGCTCATTGATGGCTTAAGCTACAGGGCTTCACTCTTTTTTTTTTTTTTTTTGGAGAAGGGGACTGGGGATTGAACTCAGGGGTACTTGACCACTGAGCCATATCCCCAGCCCTATTTTTATATATTATTTAGAGACAGGGTCTCACTGAGTTGCTTAGCACCTTGCTTTTGCTGAGTCTGGTTTTGAACTCTCGATCCTCCTACCTCGCCTCCCAAGCCGCTGGGATTACAGGTGTGCACCACCAGGCCTGGCTGGCTCCCTCTATTTTATTTTTTATTTTTTCATGTCAGTCCTATCGTTACCCATTCCTGCATTCAGCCACTTCCCATTCACCTGCTCCCCATCCTGAGCCCCTGCAGGTAGGGTGGGCTTCTCTGGATTCCTTTTTGGTAAATCTGCGAGCTGCTTAGAAATCCACTGCCATTTAGGTTCAGAGATTGTCAGATTCGCTCAACCCTCGCATTCGGCTGAATCCCAGGAGTTTCTTTTGAAGGGCAGATGCCAGCTCTGCTGGTCAATCACATTGTCCTCAGCAGCGGTGAGGACAATAAGGGACAGAGAATTGTCAGCTCTGCCCAGCACAGATGGCCCCGTGTCTGATCTGTTCATCTGCTATCACAAAATTCCAGAGACTGGATCACATACAAGCAACAGAAATCTGTTTACCACAGTTCTGGAAGCTGGACGTCCAAGACCAGGGTCCGGCACATTCAGTGTCTGCTGAGGCCCCTTTCGCTCAAGGCTCCCTCTTGCTGTGTCCTCTCCGGGCAGAAGCCTGAAGGGGAAAGGGACCTGGCTGGTTCCCTCAGGCCCTTTTAAAGGGTACTAGCTCCTAATCAGCTGCAACCCTACCTCTGGATACGATCACCTGGGTCTTAGTTCCAACACGTGAGTTTTGGAGAGACACACATTAAACCATAGCACCCCTCATATTTCAGAAGCTGAGCTTTGAAAGAGAAAATGCTCAGCCCCTTTGCCAACTGTACCGCTGTTCACCTGCCCTGCAGAACCCTTTTCTGCTTGTGTCCTTTCATCTTTGTGTCTTTGTAAGACATGGAAAAGGAGAGAGAATGTGGTTGCTGTGACTTGTAACCCTTAAACCTCGTAAGAATGAGCAGGACTGCCTATGGCTTGTGCCGCCCAGGATTTTTCTGTCTTTGCCTACATACCTGACTGTTTTTGGAATTTAAAAGTTATCCCAGTATGATTTGGGAGGTTTATTGGAAAGAACAGGTTGGGCTACGTTGTTAAGTTTGTATCGTTCAGAGGCAGGGACAGACAGGCGCCCTTGGCCGTGCGCACGCCCGCCCAGCCTGTGCCTCTCTCTGTGAAGGTGAGCCCGAGTTCCACTACATCGCGGGCGCCCACGGCAACGAGGTGCTGGGCCGCGAGCTGCTGCTGCTGCTGCTGCAGTTCCTGTGCCAGGAGTACCTGGCCCAGAATGCGCGCATCGTCCGCCTGGTGGAGGAGACCCGGATCCACATTGTCCCCTCCCTCAACCCCGACGGCTACGAGAAGGCCTACGAAGGGGTAAAGTGAGGCCCAGCCCAGGGTGTGCTCGGCCACCAGGCCACGGGAGGCCCCTCAGGAGGCTTTTTCTTGGTGCCTCCCTGCTGTGACCAGGAAGGCACGAGGTTTATGGGGGATGCAAACCATGGCGACCCTGAAAGAGGGACATGCCCACTAAATGGTCAGAGAGAACATGAATAATAACATATATAGGATGAAATGACGGAAGACTTCTGCCCTGTGTTGACTGCATCCTGAAAACAGGTGCCAGCCACGCGCAGCACCTTTACCCTCTCCACAGCCCTGTAAGGAGAGCTGCTTTTATTATTCTGAGATGTTATTTATGATTCCTGTCCAAAGTCTGATGCAAAATTTTCGTAGGTCATCGGTAGATGTAAAACAAGCCTGTGTATGTAAATATGTGCTGACGGTACTTAGAACTATGTTGTGTTGTGGGTCCACGATGATTTACCCCAGTATCTGGGGATAAAGTGGACCCCTGTATAAACAGTGGCACCTATAAAACACAAGCTTTAGGTTACAGAGCTTTGGTTCTGTTCACTGGGGATCTGTAGTACCAGAAACTGGGCAGGCGGCAGAACAAGCATAGGCTGTGCCAGCCTCGTGTCGCCCTGCTGGGGAGTCCTAGGTTCGTGGTCACTCAGAGGTCCCACTGAGCTGTGCAGGAGAGAGGAGGAAGAGGTAGGAGGAGGGGTCTCATCCCCTTGAGCAGTGCCAGGTGGCAGGGTGGTTCTCTGGGTGCCCTCTGTGGAGTGACCTTGCTGTATTACCCATCGTCACCCATCAAATTCCAGCAGCCGGTTTTCAGTACTCTCCTGGATGCCATCTTTAGGTCAGAGGGTGTCAGAGGCTCCGAGACACACTGGGTGGAGGTGGACATGTGCATCTCCTAGGGCAGGGGTTGGTTTTCCTACATCTGCGGGTTCCTTACATTCTGAATCTTCTCTCAGGGCTCGGAGCTGGGAGGCTGGTCCCTGGGACGCTGGACCCACGACGGGATTGACATCAACAACAACTTTCCTGACTTGAACACGCTGCTCTGGGAGGCAGAGGATCGGCAGAACGTCCCCAGGAAAGTTCCCAATCACCACATTGCCATCCCTGAGTGGTTTCTGTCTGAAAATGCCACAGTGAGTAAAAGTATCCCAATCTGCTGAGCAGCGGGCAGCCAGAGGACACCTGCTATGGCCGAGGCCTGGCACTTAGGAGCAAGGCAAAGCCATGTGCTTTTGTTTTCTCCAGAAGCAGGGAAGTGGGCAGGGAAGGAGCCCCCTCTAAATGGGTACTTGGAGGGTTCTTCTTAGAAATCACTGAATTATATTTCTTGACAACCGCACAGTGTTGCAAAGACCAAAACACACGTGTCTGAATTGTACCTGTTGGTTGCTGTCATCCTTGTCCTCCCTGTCAATCTTCCATGACATTACCCACAGCCCTCACTGACTGCTTGATGCATCTGATTTTATTTGAATAAGTCCCTGTGGATTCGTTGCATGTGTCACATCTTTGGAAACAAAAAATGAAATTGGGTAGGAAATGTTTTCACCAAATGCCTTTGTTCCTGTTTCACAAATATGTTCTCATGAAAGCACCGTGTGTTGTTGGGGTGCCCTCGCTGCCCGCGGTAACTCCCTTCCTTTCCCTTATTCTTTGATCTCATACGTCCTTCACCGGGTCTGCCTTGATTGGAACCTAAGTAGTTGAACCTTGTAGTTGAACCCCATGGTCAGGAACCCAGCATTCATCTGTCTTTCTGCCTCTACCATGGAGACATGTGTCTTTCACCCTCAAGGTCATAATCCAGGGTGGCAGCCGGTGCTTTGACTGTCATGACGGCGAAGGAAGAGGAGAGAAAGGTTTTTTTCCTGTGTTTGTTTTTGTTTTTTTAAGGTCCCCTTCTCAGGCAGCTCGGTGTCCTGTAGGAGGCCTTCCTAGAATCCCTGCAGACTTGGGCTGAAATCTCACTGGGCAGTTTCTCTGCACAGGGCATCCACTGCTTTGGGAAGCTGTAGTCTAGGTAGCACGCTGCGGGCTAATCCAGGGGGATGCTGCCTCGAGCCCCTGCCCATGCAGCACAGCACGCTGGGCCTCTGACCGGTGGAGGGTCAGCATGTGGTCTCCTTCAGTGGCCCACAGCCCAGGGCCGAGCAGGTCCTCAGAAGGTGACTGAAGGAGACAGACCATGGTGGTACCCTGTGGTTGGTGGGGATGCCCACAGGCTGATGCAGGGTTGGGATTGGCCTCTGAGTCTTCTGAATCTTTCTCCTGGTTTTGAGTCCAACCCAGTTGGTCCGTAACATCCCGATGATACCTGGCAAACTTAAGAATTCAAGTGATGCTATATTTTGGGAGCACTTGGATCAAAATTGGAATTGGTTGCCAGCTCTGCCCCCCC